ATTTGTCATGGAAAATAAGGTCTGGAGAGAAAAAGAGCCTTCGAAATAGTTATGAGTAGGGTTCTATGAGGATGGATATATATACATATCTCATATTTTGAACATACTTCTTTTCTTTTTTTTTAAGATTTTATTTATTTGACAGAGAGAGACACAGTGAGAGAGAGAACACAAGCAGGGGGAGTGGGAGAGGAAGAAGCAGGCTTCCCGCCAAGCAGGGAGCCCAATGTAGCGCTCGATCCCAGGACCCTGGGACCATGACCTGAGCCAAAGGCAGACGCTTAATGACTGAGCCACCCAGGTGCCCCTTGAACATATTTCTAATTCCATTCATAGTGTTTCCATTGTCAACATCTGTTGGGTATTTTTTTTTTTCAGGCTGCCCTCTGTTTTTAGCAGAAAAACCCAGAACCCATCAGAATCAATAAAAATAAAAATAAATCCTACCTAGGAAAAGAACCACCAAAGGTACTGAGTCCTTTTCTCAGAACAGTACATATTGATGACACACTATATTTCTGGATGAAATTGCTTCTTGACTCAAAGAATCTAAGACTCTTTCAAAAAAATTTTTATTATAGAAATTTCAAGCATTCATTAGAGAGAAAAGTATAATAAACCCTTATGACTCCACCTTTTATTTCAACAGTTATCCACTCATGGCCAATCTTGTTTCATCTAATCCCCCTGCACTCACTTTGTTTGCTACTATTTTAAAGTAAATCCCACACATCTATCACTTCCCCCGTGAATACTTCCATAATGCATCTTTAACCGAGGACACCTTTTTCAAGGTAATCATAATCCATTATCACACTTAACAAAGTTACAGTAATCTCTTATCATCTGAAACAAAATCATACTCAAATTTCTCCAACTGTCCCCCAAAAATGTCTTTTTTGCAGTTGGTTTGTTCCCATCAGAATCCAAGCAAAATTAATATATTGCATTTGGTTATGTGTCTTGAGACTCTTAATTTTACACCACCCTCAAACCTGAACACAAAATGGATTTAAAACTTAAACATAAGACCTGAAAACTGTAAAACTCCAAGAAAAAAAATTAGGAAAAAGCTCCTTGACAGTGGCCTTGGCAACAATTTTCTGCAGATGACAGCAAAAGCACAAGCAACAAAAGCAAAAATAAACACGTGGGACTACATTGAACCAGTAAGATTCTGCACAGCAAAAGAAACAATCAACAGAATGAAAAGGCAATCTACAGAATGGGAAAAAATATTTCCAAGCCATATAGGTGACAAAGGGTTACTATCCAAACCATATAAGGAATTTATACAACTCAAAAGCAAAAAAACAAAAACTGAATTAAAAAATGAGCTGAAGACCTGAACAGACATATTTCCAAAGAAGACATATAAATGGTCAACAGGTACATAAAAAGATGCTCAACATCACCAATCATCAGAGATATGCAAATCAAAACCACAATGAGACATCACCTCACACCTGTTAGAATGGCCATCATCAAAAAGACAAGAGACAGTAAGTGTTGGGGAGGATGTGGACAAAAGGGGATATTGGCACTTGGGGATATTAGGAATTGCGAATGCTCTGTGTGCAGAGCAAACACTCCAGTTTAGCCAGGTCTAAAGTTCTCCACACAGAATGCTTCAACTTCTCAGTTCTCTACCCTGAAGAGCTGCGTAGAAAGCAAATGCCCTGAAAGTTTCATAATGGCTCTGCTCTTCAGTTAAGTAAGATTTTGCTGTCATATTAACACTCCCTCAATATATCACCAATTGGAACTGTTCTCAAAAACCTCACGTACGAAAAACAAAACAACAACAAAAAACTTCAATACAGGGCGCCTGACTGGCTGTCGGTGGAGGGTGCAACTCTTGATCTCGGGGTTGTGAGTTTGAGCTGTGTGTAGAGCATAGAAATTACTTAAAAATAAAATCTTTTTAAAACATAAAAAATAGGGACGCGCGGGTGGCTAAGTGGGTTAAGCGTCTGCCTTCAACTCAGGTCAGGATCCCAGGATCCTGGGATCGAGTCCCGCATCATCGGGCTCCTTGCTCAGCGGGAAGCCTGCTTCTCCCTCTGCCTGCCGCTCCCCCTGTTTGTGTTTTCTCTGTCAAATAAATAAATAAATTCTTAAAAATAAATAAATAAAACATAAAAAGTAAAATAAATAATAATTTAAAAAAAGAACTTTGGTACAAAAGCCACTTAAGAAAAGTGCTTAAAAATTAACTGGAGAAGGGGGTGCATGGGTGGTGCAGTTGGTTGGACATCCAACTCTTGGTTTTGGCTCAGATCGTGATCTCAGGGTCCTGAAGTTGAGCCCCCTGTCAGGCTCCATGCTTAGCATGGAGCCTGCTTGAGGTTCTCTCTCCCTTCCCCTCCGCCCCTCCCACTCACTCTCTCTCTCTCTCAAATAAATAAATAAATCTTAAAAAAAAAAAATTAAGTGGAGAAAAAGAACTAAGCTAGAGAAGGGGCCAACAAGACTGGAGGAAGGTCTTTAACCTCAAAGAAGTAGTCACTTTATGGAAGGCAGTTACATCAGAGATAGTTCAGATCAAAAAAAAAAATTTTTTTTTTTTTTTTTGGTCAGAGATTGAGCACAAGCAGGGGAAGCAGCAGGCAAAGGGAGAAGCAGACTCCCCGCTGCGCAGAGAGCCCGATGCGGGACTCTATCCCAGGACCCTGGGATCATGACCTGAGCTGAAGGCAGATGCTTAACCGACTGAGCCACCCAGGCATCCCTTAAGTCAAATTTTTAATATACTCCTCTCCTGGGGATTTTACTAAATGCAACTGATGAATTGTTGAACACTTCATCTGAAACTAATGATGTACTATGTGTTGGCTAGTTGAATTTAAATAAAAATTAATTAATTTTAAAAAATGCAGATTCTCAGTAGGTGTGGGGCAGGGCCTGAGACTCTGCATCTCTAACAAGCTCCCATGCGATGCTGAAATTGCTGGTCCATGGACCACAGTGTAAGCAGCCAGAGTCCAGATGTGGATGAAGACACATGAAAAAAGAATGTTCCCTTACAACTCACCTCTTTGCCATGCCCTTCCCACCTCCCCACATCCTCCCAAATCCTTTCACTCCCCACCTGTCCTCTAGGAATGAAAACTTAATCCTCTTAACTGTTCAAAGTACAACCATTCCTCACAATAGCCATCTCTGCAGGTTAAAATTTTAAGCACAGGACACCTGCTCCGGGAAATGTGGCTGATTAGATTATCTGAAAACTTTCCTAATTAAATGTACTTGAAAATACTAAAGAACATATTTCAAATAAAATTTTTAAGGCACAGCTGACCTCACAGGAAAGTACAGAAAATCTTTGGAGGCTGAACACAGAAAACTGTAAACCAAAAAGGTAAAAGCATCAGCAGATGCTGTGCATCCCAGACCAGTCCCAGTAAACCTAGAAACTGAGATTTTCATTCACACACGGGACAAAGACGAAAGACATTGGGTCTGTAGGAGGCATGGTATGAGAAGAATGCCTCATGGTACCAGGACCACCAAAGGGTACACCCTCTAAGAAAAGGTAACCAGAAAACATCCATCCACTCACCAGCATAGGGAGACCAGAGTAAAGCCTGACTTATCTTGGGCTCTGAGAAGAAAAAAGAATTTTCACCCAGAATTCATAACCATGAGTCTTCCCACACCTAAACTTGAGTAATTACTCAAGTGGTCCAGGAGTCCCTAAACAACACAATCAGCACAAAAGGTGCCTCTGAGTCAGTAACACCTCTGGGGTACCTAGCAGAGGCAAATACAAGAGCTCTCAAGTCACTGTACAAGAAGTCCAGTTAAATAAACCAACTAGAGATATACTAACAGTCAGGTAAAACACATAAGGAAATAATCTGCCGTAAGGAAGAGACCACAAACAAGCAGAAGTGTTAGATATCAAAAACTTCAAATAATGGAACTATTAATATAAACTATTGAAGAAAACTTTATTAAAAATAAAACAAAGAATTAAAAATATTTTTTAAATCTTTACGAAAATAGGTCGATCTGAAAATGAATCAAATAAAACTTCTAGAAAGGGATTAACAGTCAGTTAAAAACTTGATGGTTGTTGAAACAGCCGAGAAGACACAGCAGAGGAGCTAATAAACTGGAAAACAGATTTGAGAAAATCACCAAGAAGGCAGCGCACAGATGTAAAGCGATAGGAAGTCAAAAGGGAGAGAGTGTAATGCGTATAAAGCATGTAATGGCAGAAAGGTATTTACTACCAGGTATTACATAATCTACCGAAGCACTGGAAGGGGTGAAGAGAACTTCATCAACAATTCCCGAAGCCACACTGCAGAGCTGAGTCTAGGTTCCTGATACAATTAAGAAGCTGCCTGGCAAAAACAGGGGAAACCACAGCAAAAATTGCTGGCCCCGTAGCTGCGCCATGTCCACCACGATCCACACCAGCAAGACGAACACCGGACAGCCTCCCTCTCTCCAGCTCAAGCCCATTTCAAATTCAAGTCTCCGGAATGAATGGACACTAATTTGTTACAGCCTAACTGTAAGAGAATCTGAGAAAAGGCAGTGTTCGGCTTTCCCATTTCAGCAGTACGGAGAGGCACACGGCACGGACGTCCTAACAATCTATAAACTAGTAGAATTAAGAAAATTCAGCAAGCTTTCTGAATATAAGATCAATATAAAGAAATCAACTGTATTATACCAGTAATAGTAGAGTAGAACATGCAATTTTTAAAGTACCATTTAAGAGCAAATCTAGCAAGATGTATGACTGTCATTTAAAAATCATAAAAATTTATTGAGAAACATAAAAGACCTGAAAAAATGGATATACTATGTTCACAGATTTAAACAACTCAGTATCAGTAAGATGGATTAATTGTATGTCTGCAACTATTTGTGGTATAATTTAGAAACTTCTAGTACAGTTGAAGATGTATCCTTACAGCTCAACAAAATCCAAGGTTTATACTCAAGAGACACTCCCACAGACTGTACAAGAAGACACGTAAGAATACTAGTGAAAGCACTTTAATAGCAGCAAAACTTCGCTATCTAAAACGACCATCAACAGGAAAATGCATAAAGTGTGGTACAGTCATACAATGGAATATTACATAGCAGATAAAATGAATAAAGAAGAGCTTCCTTTATCAACGTAACTGTGAAAAAAGTAAGCTACGGGAGGCTATACACATCATGCCAACTTCAAAGTAAAATATTTAGACATGCAAAATAATACAGTTTATGGATACTTACATATATATTAGAAGTACAAAATCATACATGGGGGGTTGGGGTAAGACACACAAGAAGGGTTCACCCACATTTGTAATGCATCATTTATTTAAAAAAATAACCTGAAACGAACACGGCAAGATATCCAAGTTAATAAAGTTGGAGGGTGGGTACGCGGGTGTTCATAGAGTCTGTACACTTCTGTGAATTTGAGATGTTTCTTTTACAGAGAGAATGGCAGTGTTAGCGAGCTGAACAGAGGTGACGCACATGCGTGTGGCACTCTCATCCCTCACGCTGTCGGAGGTGGTTCACACTGAGCCAGAGTGTTCCACGAGTGAGAGCAGCTCAGCCAGCTTGCTCTCCCACCCCATCTCTCCACCCTCAGTCTCACTTTCAGTGTCCTGTCTACCCGGGTGACTAGCTGCACTTGGAGGAAGGAGACTGGCCCCCTGGCCTCCAGCCTAGGCCACCTGCCCCACCTAGAATACCACCGAGGCGGGAGAGCGATGACAACAAGCCTTCCTCTTGCCTCCCCTTGCGCTCTCCACTGTGGACCATCTCCTTCAGTGACTTCACTGGGCGAGGCAGGCATGACTGTGGAGTAAGGCAGGATGTGCCATATCTGAATATCATTTAAAGGGCACCAATTTCCATCTGAGTGTGGTGGCAAAGGCAGCTTCCCTGGGATGTAGGGACTTGTTCTTCTGCTAAGCACAGAAAGCTCTCTGGTGTGTCCACCTGGCAGGGCAACGACATTGCCTTTATTAGTTTACCCCAAACTCTTTGTCGGGAAACAAATCCTGTGCTTTGAGCCAAAAACTCCATGGAGATTAAAGTGATTTTAAACTCCATTTATGAAGGGTCAGAAGAAGTTCAACTTTCTATCCTCACTCCTAAGTAACATTGTGTCGTGTTTCTTACAGTAAAACGTTAATAAATTTGTCATGAACAGAGAATCAGGGCTCACGCGGTCTACAAAATTAGATTTCTCGGGAAAACCTTGGCCTGAGCTCTTCAAGAGATGACCCTTTATGACCCAAAGCCACTAGAAATCCACACAAAGTGAAGTCCATCTATCACTTCACTCTGCATCCTGCATAGACCGGACAGTGTCTTCCCAGAGCCCTTGAAAGGAAACCCAAATTCCTTACCAGGACTTAGGTGGTCCTTCGTGACATGAGCCCTCACCCAGACTAGGTCCAGCTCGTTCATCACTGTAGCACCAGCACTCAACGCAGTGCCAGGTGCCTGATAAAGGCAAGAGGACACAGGACCTCTGCTCCTTCCCACCTCATCTCCCTCCAGCCTCTTAGTCTCCTACTACAAGTGGCAGTAAAAAAAAAATTTTAATTAAAAAAAAAAAAAAAAACAGAAATCTCCAGGAAGAAAATGTGCTTGCTCTGCAAAGGAGAAAATTGTGAGATCTCACGCTGACCCAAAGAGGGCTGAGAAAAGCAGCTGGTGACATGTCCTAAACCAGAAGGTCATGCACGGTATCCCAAAAGAAAGAGATGCAGACAGCCGAGCGCTGGGGCACAAATCCAACCATCAAGGCACAGGCAGGTCCCATTTTCTCCCTAATCCACCTGGCATACGGTTCCTCACTCTTCCACAGAATGACATGCCCCTGCAGACTCTGTGAACTCCAACAGTTGTGGACTACAGGTGCTCTGTCGCCGAAGGCCCGGCGGTCTTGCGTTAGTATACATCTTCGGTGACAGGTACTTCCAAACGACAGAATGCTCGCTGTGGGAGAGGTGGCCATTAGTGGGCAATCAGGGACGACTTCCTGCATTCCTTCTGCACGGTAGTGTCGTGCCATGGGCGACTAGAGGCCGCCAGGACCAGCTCAGGAGAGCCTCCCGTGAGCACGTCTGCCCAGCTCCACTTGGGTGACTGTCAGCTTGGTAGTTTGAAATCTGCCTTGGCAGGATGGCGTCCACCACAGACAATGGCAAATGCTACAAATTCGTGTCTTTTATGCTCATTTGTCAGGGCCAGTTATTAAACATTTACCAGCATACGACTAGCTATTGGTAACCATGTTAGTGTGTCTAAGACTTGGGTCCTCAAAGAGCAGACACAGAGCCTGGGTGAGAGCAGTGCATCCAGTGCAGACAGGTATTTACTGCTCTCCGAAAAGAATACTTTACATTTCCTATGGTGCTTTAAGTTTTCAGTTTCTCGTTAGTTTTCTGGGGAAAAAAACGGCATCCCTGTCAGCAAGGGCCCTGAATCTCACTCGCTTCTGCATCCTCAAAGACTTCACTCCACACATCAATCCCTCCCTCCTATCCAGCATTCTTTTCAAATATACCAGTTCCCAAGTGTCACTCACCATTTCCTTTTGATTTTGTAAGGCCCTCTCTCAACCTTACAATGTCCTTCCCTTCAGAGCCAAGCCTTTCCAAATATGCTTGCGTCCTCCAGCTCCCCATAAGCTCCTGCCCCCTCCTCGCCACGGGAAGCGGCTCTCAGGTCAGGGATGAAAGAGTAACCAAAGTCTCAAAGGGCGCCTCCGACCCTATTTGCTCCAGTAACACTCCCTCCTCTGGAACCCTTTGGGAACTCGGTGGCACCATTCTCTATGGTTTGCCCTCTCCCTCTATGCCTGCTCCTTCTCCATATATGGGGCTCCTTTTCTTGTCCTGAAATAGTGATGGACATGTATAGATGACCCACCCAACTGTCAGTTATCGATACCTCTGGGGAGTTCAGGGGTCTTAGGGTGAGAAGTCGACAAAACTTACAGACTGTCCAATGTTCTACCAAAATGTGGAATTTTAAAAAAATCAAGTGACCCCAAAGTTTCATCCTGCTCTATAAAACTCCTCTGGTAGGGGACGCCTGGGTGGCTCAGCTGGTTAAGTCTCTGCCTTTGGCTCAGGTCATGATCTCAGGGTCCTGGGACGGAGTCCCACATCGGGCTCCTTGCTCAGCGGGGAGCCTGCTTCTCCCTCTGCCTGCCACTCCCCCTGCTTGTGCTCTCTTGCACTCTCTCTGACAAATAAATAAAAAATCTTTAAAAACAAAACAAAACAAAACAAAAAAACCACCTCTGGTGGCCCACAACCAACACCGGCCCACAGGGTGCTGGTGGCCACATGCAAGCTGCTGTCTCCCAATTCTGTTCTCGTCCAGACGACTACTACGTTCTAGATGTGCATCCTCAGAAGCTGGAAAGCCCCCTCCACCCAGGGTCTTCTGCGCACACTTCAAACCCAGCACTTTACCACGCACCTCTGCTACACCCCCTCCCACTCAGGGCAGGGCCCCAGCAGCATGCAGACACAAGTGCCCGAGACCTCCTAGTCAGCCATGCTGATTCTGTGTTCAAACTCCCCTCAAATCTAGCCACTCGTCTGGATCCTCAAGCCACTTCTCTATTTCAGGTCTTCATTTACCACCGAAGTTAGGGCAAAAATCGAATGGGACTCCCTGGGTGTAATTTCCCTTCTCCAATCTATCCCCCAAACTATAATCAGAAAAATCTTACTAAAATACAAATCAAAACATATCACCCTTCCAACTAAGGCCCCTCCACAAATCACCAATCCCCATATTGAAATCTGCAACTGGTCACACAACACTGGAGAAAAACTCCAAATGAATTCAAAGCCATTTCTTATCTTCCTCCACCATGAGCCCTCACATTCCAGTCATGCCAGACAACTTGAAGCTCCCCAGAATGTATTCCGTTCTCACTGTTTGTCAAAGGTCACCTTGCTAAGTAGCTTTCTTGGAATGGCTCCTTCTTCCTGAAGGCCAGGCATAGGTGCCTTTTCTGTGTTCTCTACGACAGCTACCTCATCGTGGCGCCACAACATATTGTCATAGTCAACTCGTCAGTTTACTACAAGCTTCTAAAGGCAAAACGTCTCATTTCTGTACTTGTACTACTGACATGGAGGAAGGAGCTGCATAAATATTCATAAATCTCAGTCTCGAAAGGGCCCTCAGAACTAATTCTACTTCTTCCTCTGTCCCTTCATCAAATGCCTGTTATCCTGTGTAACCACCCTGCTAAGTGAATGTCCAGCCTCTTGAACACCTCTGATGATGGGGAAGTCGCTTACTAAACACCGACGTCAGCAAGGCCTCATTCTGGACATACACACAGAATTCACTAGAAGGAGCTCACAGATCACAGTCTGTTGACACCTCATCTGACAAGAAGACAAGCCCTTGCTGTGGCTGTGGCAGGAAGCTGGTGACATCGATTGCTGCCAGTTTCAGAAACACCTGGCAGAAAGGGCACTGGGGGTGCGGGGGTGCCTGCTGGAAATGAGTCTGGGAACGATAAAGTTGGGTCGTTTTCATATTGTTAACACAGCTGGGACTTCCCAAACTCTTTTTGCCCTAGCTTGTGTCTTCAATGTTTAAGCTCCAGAATCACCACATCGTCAAAAAGGAAAGTCAAATGGGACCATTTTGCCCTAATTCCAGGAAAGTCTAAGAGAACAGAGAAAATATCATTCAAGTCAATTATTTTATTGAAGGAGATAAGTTACGCCAATGCTAACTGATTGTTGGCCAAGGGAAGAAACGTGCTGGAAGTCAGATATATTGGCAGACAAGAGAGAGTACCTAAGGTTCCGCCCAAAAAATATTCAGCATCAGGGTTTCCGTATTTCTCCATGCGTCACTTTCCATTCAAAAGATTCTGGAGACAAAATGAGGTAAGATTCTTTTGGTTATCAACCAAGAGTCTTTAGGTCTTCTCTCAGCCAAGGCATCCAGGGAAAGTATACAGGCAAACCTCAGAGATACCACAGGTTTCGTTCCAGACCACCAAGATAAAGCAACACAACAAAGCAAGTCAAATCAATTTTTTGGTTTCCCAACATGTATAAAAGTTATGTTTACACAATATTGTAGTCTATTAAGTGTACAATAGCATTATGTTAAAGAACAACATACATGCCTTAATTCAAAAATACTTTATTGCTGAAAAGTGCTAACCGTATCATCTGAGCTTTCAGCAAGTCATAATCTTTTTGCAGGTGGAGGGTCTTGTCTCGATGTTGCAGCTTCTACATCAGCCCTTGCTGCTTCACCAAGCACTTTTAGGTTATAGAGATGGCTTCTTTCCTTTAAACCTCACAAGCCAACGTCTTCAAGCTTCCAACTTTTCATCTGCAGCTTCCTCACCTCTTAGCCCTCACAGAATTGAAGAGCTAGGACTTTGCTCTAGATTAAGCTTTGGCTTAAGGGGACGTTTGATCTTCTGTCCAGACCATTGAAACAAGGCTGTTTCGTTTTCTTAACATTCATGTGTTCCCTGGCACACACATTCAGCACTTTTAATTTCCTTCAAGAACTTTCCCTTTGCATTCACAACTTGGCTAACTGGTGCAAGAGGCCTGGCTCCAGCCTATCTTGGCTTTCAACATGCCTTTCTCACTGAGCTTAATCACTTCTAGCTTTTGACTTAGAGTGAGAGATGGGGGACTCTTCCTTTCACTTGAACACTGAGAGGCCACTGTAGGATTATTAACTGGCCTAATTTCAATATGTTGAGTCTCAAGGGATAGGAAGGCCCAAGGACAGGGAGAGACGAGGGAATGGCTGGTTGGTGAGCAGTCAGAATACACACAACGTTGATTAAGTTCACTGTCTTATACAGGCATGCTTTGCGGCACCCCAAAATCATTACAATAGTAACATCACAGATCACCATAAGAAATAGGATAGTAATTATAAAGTGTGAAATATTGTGAGAATTACCAAAACGTGATACAGAGACACGAGGTGAGAAATGATGTTGGAAAAAGGGCACCAATAGTCTTGCTCGACGCAGGGTTGCCACAAACCTTCAATTTGAAAAAAATGCATTATCTGCGAAGCTCAATAAAACGAAGCACAATAAAACGAGGTATGCCTCTAATTTATTTTTCAGATTCCTCTGCAGGATTAAAAAGTCTTTTTCGCATCGCATTGCCATGCTCCCTGCTCTTGGTCCTCTTTTCCATGTACTGGAAAATAAAAGGAAGGGGGGAGAGAAGAGACAGCAGATTATATTACCATTTATATCAGCTGAGTTAAATATTTTAAAATATTTGCAAAATAGTTTTTGCTGATAAAATTCTTTTTTGTCTTTTATTTCACGGAATCTGAAAGTGCAAACACAGTGCAGCACCTACATCCTAATAGGTGCACAAATATTTACTGAATTAATTTTCTCCCAAAATATGAATTCAGTAAATATTTAAGATGAGTGAGTTCTGTCCTGTTCTGCAGAAACTCACAATCCATTGAAGTCATCTAACCTCTGCTTGAACACTTCTAGCTATGAGCAGCTAACTACCTGAGAGGTAGCCTGTTTAATTGTTGGACCCTTCTACTCGTTCCAAAGGTTGTTTTTGTTTTTTAATGTTGAACCAATAAGTGTTTCCCTGTAAATTCTCCTACTGCCCTCTATTTCTTCTTGCAAATATCTGATTACAGAAAATCCACTTACTACCTTTTTTAGGCTGAACATTGCTGATTTCTACAAAGGTTCATAGAACATGGCTTCTGCCTTCTAATAGCTACCTTTTATAAGGTGCTTTAATATCAATATCCCTTATAAAAAATATCACAACCAGAATTAAAGACAGTGTTCCACACAGTCTGACAGATGTGGGCTATGGAGGACCTACTAGTTCTTATGACCTAGACATTTTATTTCTATAAATATTATCAAGAGTAATTGGCTCTTGGCAACCATATTATCCTATTAGTTCACATGGAAACCTATATTCAGCTGAACCTCCCAGGATCTTTTCATTATGAATAGTCATCAAACCTGATTCTCTCCAAATCCTACATTTCTGTAGTCAGTTGGATCTAAGTGCAGTTTTCACCTTGGAGGTTTTCAGCCTAGTATTTGGATCTGGCCAGTAGGTTATAAGTAACAGGAAATACACAGCCTGGCACTTAGAAAAAGCACTGTTTAAAGCAGAGAAATGTGAATATAAGTGTTTTTGTATGGATATATATACATGCTTATATACACCGATAGACATATTTTAAAAGTGAATGAAGGGTCCCTATGGAAAAAGGAAAAAAGTAAAAGTAAATTCAAGTTGAAAAAACTAAGTATATGTGAACAACTAAGCATCAAAATCTTTTAGGAGCCAGAGATATGGAAAAAGGCCGCAGAAATGAAAATCAATGATAGAGAGCTGAGTAGGGACTCAACTGGGTCCCCTGCCCCGGACCTCTGAGCCAGTGCTGGGAAGGTTCATGCTTACTGCATCTTCGGGTCCCATAACCTCAAATAAGAAGAGCTAGGCTAGATCATCTCTCAGAAGTTTTCTAGATCTAAAGTTTTGATTGAAGAGTTCTAACATAGCCTCTGGAATGATAGTTTTCAAACTTTTTTTTCTTCTTCATCAAAGGGCCACTTCAAATTACAGATGAAACACCAGGTCCCTTTAACCAAAATCATTCCTTTTATCTGTCACACATTAATTTTCCTCCTAAGATTGTCAGGGGGAAAGAGCATTTCATCACTTTAAAAACTATTTTTTTAAAAAAAGGCACTGTTCTAGAACATGGAGGGATACCTACTCTGAGAAAAACATTTGGTATCTATCTTTAATCACATATACTGGACTGCCTCCAGCAATCGGGTTGGGAAGAGGGTTGTAAGGGTAAATCTTCAGAAGATAATACTTTGTAGGCAGCCAAAATAATAAGTTAAAGAGCAAATTAAAAATATAATCTATGTTAAAATGTATGTTAAGATATCCCCAAAGGGAGTCCAGATGGCCTTTGAATAAAAGAAAAAAAAAGGATGAACACGATGTTATTCACAAAACTTCAGTGAACAACACAACCAAACCAAACCGAATCGAAAAATTAAGAGGGACAAAACAGGATGCTGCAAAAGTAGTATTAGTGATTATTTCGATAGAAAGAACAAAAGCAGCGACACAGCAGCAAACAGAGGCTAAGGGAACTGGCCAGACCCTTTTTCTAGTTGAAAGTGTCAAGGAATGAAGTACTCAAATGGTACATGAAGGAGATGGTTAGAGGAGCACGTGAAAGGCAGGAAATGGTCAACTAGAAAGCATTAAAGGCAGAGAGGAAATAAATGAGTGCAGGTTCAGAGGACTGAAGGAGGAAAGAACAGACAAAAACATTTATAAATCAGGTAATTTACCGACATAAAAACCACACAGAGGACTTAGAAAATAAGTCAAGGAGAAAATCCAGAATTTATATGAAAACAAACTCAAAGTAAGAAAAATATCTACAACATTCTACCTAATAGTCACTAACAGCTCAGGACCACCTGGGAAGAAAATTTCAAATAAATGCCTAATCTAAAATTTTGCAATTGGTAAAATGGCAAAAATTACTGAACTGTTAGAAAAAGAAAAAAATCTAAACTTAGGGAAAAAGTGATCTGACACAACTGAAAGCATGTGAGAAATAAACAGTTGTACTGAATAAAGTAGTGTGGGCTTCTTTTTCCCATCATCTTATTAAAACGGGAACAAAGCCCTAAGTTCAGTTTTCATATAAACTAGCTTTACATGTAAATAGGAAGAAAAACTCTTTGAAAGTCAATTTAAAACACTTCTGTATGTACACATTTGTGCAAAGAAAATTATCACCCTGAACTGAGAACTCCAGAAAGTTCTTCAAAATGGTAAAGACACTGGAAAGGGATTCTGGGAAGGAAAAAAAAAAGCTTCAGATTGAAATATACAAAAGTTGAAGATAGATGCTGGACAGCTCAAATATTATAACTAATACCTTTCAATATGAGGCTAATAGGAAAAAATTTCAAAAATATAGAAAAGGAAAGAAAACTGGACGGCAGGTGTTCAGTAGTTACAGATTTTTAAAGGTTTGGGACATAAAACAACTGATGTACAAAACAGAAATGGAGTTAAATTTAAAGATTTCAAAAGCACTCTGCTATATGCCCAAGTCCAAGTCATGGCCTAAAACCGGGTTCAGGAAATGAGTCTTTCCGGCCAAGTCAAACTAGATCCGTGTGTCTCATACATGCCATGGTTATGAAGAATTCACAATTCTAAACCTGTGAGGAGCCCAAGCCTAGCTCCTGCCACGTTCTATGAGGAAGCGGAGGCCCAGAAAGTGTTAGTTACCTGCTATGGCTAATAGCTGACTGACCAAAGTCTTTCTACTAAACAAATTCAGTTTCCTAGCCCTTACAATTCATCCAAAGGAGTTACAATGATTATAATAAGGAAGTCGTTTTCATTTATGTGCATGCAAAAAAAAAACAAAAGACAAACAAACAAAAAAACCCCCAGCAATGTCCTTTCATTTCTCCTCTTGGTTTTAGGGGAGAACATACATATAAAGTGTCAATTCTCCCTGTTATACTAAAATTTGGAATAAAAATTAGTAATGGTATTCTAAATATTGCTCAGAAATGTTCTATTCTACTGTTCAACCATTTTCATCCTCTAACACTTTTCTTACCTCCTTCTTCAAGCATTTTCTCATCTCCCGATCGAGATCATTGCAATGACCAAAATATTTCAGAATGCTGTGCTAAAAGGAAGAAGAGGGGTAAAATATTTCATCCCATAATATGCTAAGGTCTCTGGCACATAGAATTTAAATACTTATTCCTAGAGAAATGGGTTTAATGTGTCACCATCCTGTTAATAAGCAAACAGTTAAATCACAGGTATAAAATATACAAATAAACGGACTTATCCTGGCCTTCCTAAAAGGAGGGATAAACGCTGTATAGGTAGAAATGAAAACTAAAAAGATTTTTCCTTGATAAAAGGGAAGCCTATTAACCTGCCCAAACCTCACGAGGACAGAGTGTAAACAATTCTGTTTTCTAATAGCCCTTTCTTTAATGGCATGTGAAAATCACAGCACAGCCATCTCTACCACAGGGAGCGATATCTAAGTGCAGTGTGGCCGTATTAACAGGACCACTGACTTCTTCACTAGCAAACATTCTGTCCCATTGAAGAATTACCTGATAAATGCTGGGGGCCAACACTAATTTTCTCATTTGCCTCCATCCAAAATGTCATCAAAATACATCAGAAACACATAACACTATTATTAAATGGCCTATATGGGCCACATAAGTAAGCCACTAATCCACAATGTAAGAAAACTTATATGTAAAGTTCGAAGTCTGCTTTCTTTGCAAAGCAAAAATAAAAATCTCATGGTTTCAAGGCCTATGATGATTATCATGGCAAAAAGTATGAATGCTATGAAGCAGATTAAGATGAAGACTGAAGTCAAGAACACAAATTTTAGTCGGGCTATAATTAATGTATTTGCACATCACGATTTTTAAGGAACGGGTAGGACAGCATGTTGATGTCCTATAATGACATGCCATAAGTGCTGAACTTGTAATAATAAGCACCTTTTCCTTTTCTTTCTAATTAAGGCTTTCACGGAAACCAGACAACACGTAATTAATAAACTGTGCCTCATGCTAGTCCTTTCTTTCACCGCGACGGTAAATGTCCTTTTCTGGTCCACAGTGAATAAATGGGTTATTTTTTCTGGCAAGCATTTAAGGTAAACTAAGATCTCCTACTGGTTACCTAAGGACCTTTTCAGAATAAGTATCTCTTATGTATTTTTCTTAAACTATTTCCTTGACAACAAATGAACAGGAACCATGCATTTCCCACACCTTCTGGTGAAGCAGAACTAACAGAAAGGATTAGACTTTCAGAACGTAAGGCAATATTTCATAGTTTGGTTTACACTGACTCATATCATCCCATAGACATACATCTAATTTTTAAATCCAAGACAGAAGTTTTGTTTTGTTTTGTTTTTTGCTTTTCCAACATTTAAACCCGAAGAAGAATTATACTCTCGTGACATTACATGAAAAACAAAACCAAAGTGCTCCACTGGAATTGGTTTATGAAATGCCCGGGGTCTACAATTCTCTTATATACACATGGCATAAACCTCTAGTGTGCGATGTCTATTTCTAGAGAATCAAACCGACTGAGAAATTGATTGAATAAATGAATCAATCAACTGATACCTTGAAGACAATGTCCCAAGCACTAGAGATACAGCAGTGAGGAAGGTGGACCTGGGCCCTACTCTCAGTACATGGTCAGAGGGAAGAGCCAGCTAATGAAGTGATTGCTATAAAGCAGTAGTTTTCCAAGTGTAGTCCAGAGACACCCACGAGTTCCCAAAACCTTTCCAGAGCATGTACACGATAAAAACTATTTCCCTGATAATCAAAAATCTTGTTTTGTTCATTTGCATTCTCTCACAAGGCTACCATAGAATTTTCCAGAGGCCGCACAGACAGCAATATCACCAAAGACTGAACATGAGGCAGATAGGAGGATCTGGCTATATCCTATTAAGCCAGGCATTAAAGAGAATTGCAAAACTGCAAAAGCAATGTCATTCTTTTCACCCTCTTGTTTTGGAAAATAAGATCTTTTTTATGAAAAATCACTACGTTAACATGTATTGGATTTATTATTGTATTTTTATGTAAATTAATATTTTTTAAATTTCTAATTCCGTAAATATTGGTAGCTATAGCCCACATACACAAAAGTCATCTGGGGTCCTCAATAATTTTTAAGAGCATAAAGGAGTCGTGAGACCAAAAAGTGTGAGAACTATCTTAAAGTAGCAACTGTATTATGTGTGGGGTTACTGGAGTACAGAGCGACTACGCCAAGAGAATGTAGGCCAGGAAAGGAGAAAAGGAAGAGGAAATAACAAATGACACTGAATAAAACCTGGAGGATGGTGAGACCTGGTCTCGCACACAGGAAGCGGAGATAGTGGGGAGGGCTCTAAGACAAGCAAGGAGAAAGCAAGCACAAAGGCTTAGAAGAGGGAAGCGCATTCCGGCACAACTGGACACAGGAGCAAGCAGAAGAGGTGCAGGAGGGTGGTGAGGCGCAAGGGGTGAGTAGGGGACAGGTTCATGAAGGCCCTGAAACAACACAAAGTAAGAAATTTAGATTTGATAACCGCAGGCAAAGGGAGCCATTAGAAGGGAACAATGAGTCAACTTACGTTTGAATGATCACTCCAGTGCAAGTGAGCGGGGACAGAGAAGAGGACAAAACGGTCAAGGGGCTAGGGTGGCCCCACTAAGATAACACTGGAATTAACTGGTGTTAAGAACAGACACATAAGGGCGCCTGGGTGGCTCAGATGGTTAAGCGTCTGCCTTCGGCTCAGGTCATGATCCCAGGGTCCTGGGATCGAGTCCCGCATCGGGCTCCCTGCTCAGCGGGAAGCCTGCTTCTCCCTCTGCCTCTCTCTCTCTCTGTCTCTTATGAATAAATAAAATCTTTAAAAAAAAAAAAGAACAGACACATAAATCAGTGGAATAGACTAGAGAGCCCAGAAATAGACCCAGCCAGATACGGTCAAGATAATTCAGTAGGGAAAGGATGGTCTCTGCAACAAATTGTCCTGGAACAACTATCCACAAAGAAAGAAACACTGGCCCATACCTCACACAATACACAAAAATTAACCTGAAATGAATCACAGCCCTAGATGTAAAAGCTAAAACTCTACAACTTCCAGGAGAAAAAAAAACAGGAGAAAAATCTTTGTGACCGGGAAACATATAAAAATACTTGGAAGGAAAAAAAAAAAACCCACAACAACAACAACAAAACCTCCCACAAACAATAAGAGAAAAAAACCTGGTAATTAGACCTCATCAAACTTAGAAACTGCTCTTTGAAACACAACCTTAAGAAAATGAAAAAGGATGCTACAGACTAGGAGAACATATTCACAATACACTCATCAGACAAAGGACTTGTGTGTCGAATGAAAAAAAAAAAGAATTCTTAAAACTAAATAAAGCAAACAACCCAATTTTAAAACATGGGCAAAAGAAAAATAATAATAATAGATAAAATTTAAATTAAAAAAATAAAACAAAATATGGGCAAAAGACTTTATATGAGTGGCCAATAAGCACATGAAAAGATGCTCAAAAACCAGCCACCAGGGAAATAAATCTAAAACCAAATGAGACACTAGTGCAGACCCATAAAATGATTAACGTTAAAAAGACAGTATCAGGGCGCCTGGGTGGCTCAGTTGGTTAAGCGACTGCCTTCGGCTCAGGTCATGATCCTGGAGTCCCGGGATCGAGTCCCGCATCGGGCTCCCTGCTCGACAGGGAGTCTGCTTCTCCCTCTGACCCTCCTCCCTCTCATGCTCTCTGTCTCTCATTCTCTCTGTCTCAAATAAATAAATAAAATCTTTAAAAAAAAAAAGACAGTATCAATTCTTGATCTAGATGTATGCTGAAAAGAGTCTGCCTAAAGTTTACCGTCAAACAACAATCTTTGAACCAACAAAAATATCTAACTTCACAGGTCACAGGTGTTACTTACCACCTTACCATTAGTCTTTAAATTTTACTCATTTAAATGATATTTACTATTATTATAATTTGATATATGTACAGTTTATGAATATCATGAGGAAAATAACACATCATGCAAAGTTAAAGAAATACAGAAATGCTCCTTATAACTGTCTCATATGTCAAGTATATGGGAAAAGCTAAATATTTGACATCTGTAAAAATATCAGCTTAATTTAATGATTTCCAAAAATTGGCTTCCTTTCTATTTTGGTCCAAACCATGGAATTTTACTTCCATTCCACTAACAAGTAAGCAAACGTGACAAATTAGAACAATCATAATTTAAATCTAGCTAACATCTATTATAAAAAATGTTTCAATCTCCTTTAAACACAGAATAGTAGACATCAAGGAAAATCTTAGAAAAATCTTAAAATAATTCCATTATGATCAGAAGAGTCAAAATTCAACATAAGCGTTCTAGTGCCCTGTAATTTAAAAAAGGAAAGTATTTTATTGTAAGAACGTGGATTCTAACTATTACATATCATTTCAGAAGTTCCCTAACAAACTACCACGCTTGATTTTTACTAATCATGAAAGGAGATGGTGTCTGAAAAATCACAAGCATCAGTTACTAATCTTTAGTAAGCCAAGATCCACTGTATTATCATTCCTTTCCATTAGTGGAGGTAACATTTTACATCAGTGTGTTGTACTTAAGTTTCATTTTTGCTTTATGGTCATTTTTCTGAACTCTTACATTTTTGTGACATTCCTTAAGCAAGTTAATCAAGACGTTGCATTCTTCAGTGTGCAAGTGTGGAGATAAGTCAGGATGCATCTTTAGGAGGTGACGGAGCACAGCAGAGCAACCTGTGGATACAAGAGTGTCTTGAATATGTGTGACTGTATTTGTTAATGCGACCTAAAACTATTTCAGTACAAACGTGCAGTGAGCTTTATCAGAAAAGAATGTTGACCTTAGGCAAATTATTAAACCTGAGCCTCAGCTTCCTTATCCAACAATTTAACAGATTCAACAAGTCATCAGGTGCTGTTTGGAGAACCTGCAGGTTCAGAAAAAAGCAGAACTCCTCAAGAGACCCAATCCTGGAAATAAATGCTCCAGCAGAAACAGCTAGCCTATATTAATAAGCCTGATTTCAATTATTTTCCCCACATTCCTGAAATTGACTACAATTCATTTTGTCCAGTTGAAATTCTATAAAATAAGAGAATTGGTTTATTAATCCCTTAAAAATGTATATTCCTCTGAGGGAGTTAAAGCCTCATTAGCCAATCTCACTTTAGTGTCAATTCATATGGACTGCTTTCTTATTCCTAATATCTGGCTGAGAAAATCCAACTAAACAATGAAGAGAAACAAAAAGCAGATGGGAAAAAAGTTTCTCAATTTAGCAGATATATCCATAAAATGCAATTATTACAATGAAAGCAAGAAGCTGAAATCTCAGAAATTAAATTTAATTGGTTCTTTCACAAAGTAGAAAATTAGCAGCCAACGTCAAAGGAAAAGCATTATTTTGAAGTGTCTGCCACAGTTATGAAGCACTATTTACCTCTTCCTTTTTTTTAACCTATTCTTTTTAACTTGGAAAACATTACCAAAAAAAAAGAACCAATTAATGTTTTAATCTTTTACAAGTTTCAAGAAAGAAAACCTAGGAGAAAATAATGACTTTGGTTGGGCAAAGAGTTCTTAGATAGGTCAAAAGCACAATTCACAAAAGAAAAATTTGGTAAAATCTTATCAAACTTAAAAAACTTTCTCACTTCAAAATACACCATTAAGAAAATGAAAAGACGGAGTAAAAGTACAACATAGGGAATGTCGTCAATAATATTGTAATATATTTATCATGGTGAGCATTTCATAATGCATATAATAAAAAAAGAAAAAGAAAAAGACAAGCCACACTTTGGGTGATAATGACATGTTAATGCAGGTTCATCAGTTGTAAAAACATACGACTCTGGTGGGGGATGTTGATAGTGGGAAGGCTGTGCATGTGTAGTGCAGGGGGCAAATGGGATCTCTGTACTTTCTGTTCAATTGTGCTGTGAACCCAAAACTGCTCTAAAAAATAAATACCCTACAAGCTACAGACTAGGAGAAAACATCTGCAAATCATATATGAAAAAGGACTTGTTATCTAAAATATCTAAGCAATGCTTATAAACAATCTAACATTTAAAATGGACCCCAAAAATGGGCAAAAGATTTGAATAAATACTTCAGATTAAAGATGATAGAGGAATGGTTAATTAAGCACATGAAAAAATGCTGAACACCATTAGTCACAGGGAAATGCAAACTAAAACTACAATGAGATGGTAACTACACATCTGCCCACATAGCTATAATCAGAAAGTCAGACAATAACAAGCATTAGTTAGGATGCAGAGAAAACAGACCTCATGCATTGCTAGTGGAAAGGTAAAATAGTACACACTTAGGAAAACAATTTGTCGGTGTCTTAAGGAGTTACACACAAACTTACCAAAGGACCCAGACCACAGAAACCGCACTCCTAAGAATCCACCCAAAAGAAATGAAAACACATATGTACACAAAGACATGTATGTGAATGTTCATAGCATTATTCATTATAGCCAATACTGGAAACAATCCAAATATCCAATAACCTGGTAACTAGACACACAAATGTGGTATATCTAGACAATGGAATATTATTTGGCAATGAAAAGGAATGCACTGATACAGACACCAACATGGATGAACCTCAAAAGCACCAAGATAAATGAAAGAAACCAGATTCAAAAGACTATATGATCCCATTTATGTGCAATGTCTAGAAAAGGCAAAACTGTAGAGAAAAAAAGCTGATGTGTTGCCTGGGCCTGAAAGTCAGAGTGAGGATTATTTGCCATTGGGCACAAAGGAATATTTTTACGTGATAAAAATGTTTTAAAATAGGATTGTGGTAGTGGATACACAACTGCAGTTCACTAAAATCACTGAACTCACTTACAATCGGATGAATTTTATATGTAAATGGTACCTTAACAGAGCTAATACCAAAAAGTTCAAGAAATTCAAACTGCCTATCTACCTTCCACTCACAAGTATAATCCTTAAAAATATCTAAACAAATAATTCCAGAGAATTATAGTATTCCTACTATTGCAGACCTCAATTTATAAAAATATCAGTAGATCACTGTTCCATTGAGTGACTTCACTTAAGTGCACGCGCACACACTCACGTAGCACGCAACAGCTGAAGATCTCGTATCAGCCGGTTGTGCACCAGTAAGTGTTTGAAATGGAAATTGGAAATGCAGCCAAGTTCAAGTTTGGTTTGCCTGCGACTGACTACAAAGTCTTTTTAATGACATAATCTTTTTGCCTCAGAAAGACGGTATCTCATCTAGTCTAGCAGTTTAAATCATCTAATATTATACCAATATTATGCATCTACACCTATTAGTTATCTGGTTATCTGATTTCAGCCTCACTTTCTTCTGAAGGAAGATGTATACTTGCTTAGCCACCTAGAAAATGTCTTTTTATTTTGTAAATATATTTGACAAAAAATTTTTACATATTTCTATCAACCAGCCCTCAAATGCATGCTTTTACAGTTCAGAAACAAGCTCACAATGTACTGAAATTACCTTGTTAATTGGCAAATTAAATACTTTAGAAGACACTTTGGCTGCTGAGATAAATACATGCATGTTGTATGTAAGTTATAAATGCATACATATCACAATGTATATTTTTCCTCCCTCTATTACAAAAGTTTATGCCACTGTAGGCCCAGCCAGGGTGCCAATAAGACATCTTCCCTTCTACTTACTTATCCTACATAACTATATCCAAGAAGAAAATGGTTTCATATGGTTTCCTTTTCCTAGTCTTCTTGGTAAAAAGCTAAGCTACTACTTAACTTAGAGTTCTAAACACTGACCAAATCCCTTACCTAATGAATTGCTTGCTTTGCCAGTCATTCCCCTCTTTCCTCTACCCTTTTTCGTGAGATACCCTCTTCTTCTTCTTTCCCTCGATCCACCCTGTGCCCACACTTCCTTCCGGCACCTGGTGTCATCTGGCTTCATGTAACCATTGGTGCTCACGCAGGTGTACTGCCAGACTGCTGGGTGTAATCCACAAAGCACAGCTATAAAACAATGGCATTGTTCTGCTGATGTGAGTGCTGGTTTCTTCCAGCAGTCATCTTTAAAAGCCTATTCTAATCAGCATTATTGTAACTCAAAGTAACTTACGAACTGAAGAAAACTAAATGTATATTCCATATTCTTATTTTAAGATTCCTTCAAAGCCATAAGAATATATCTATATTATTAGGGTAGAAAATAATTTGTTGAAACATTTACTACATGCTAGACACAAGTTATTAGAATCCTTCCAATAACTGTAGCAAGTAGGTACCTTTATAAATTCAGCGGAACCATAAGAAATTGCCTTCTTGTAGTTCAAATATGCATTACTCACACTTTCATAGTAAAACTAAGCCCCAGGTCACATAGTAAGTGGCAGAGTTACTACCCAATGCAATCTCTCACCAGGACAGATCATTCCCATGTTCAAAACAGGAAAGACATGCCTTCCCAGCAGTTTGTGGAAGAAATAAATACAGAGAGTAAAAATTATTTCCCAAAGAGCCTCTGGTTGGCTACAAGTTCAAAAGACACTAATTCTTGGCCTAGCTTCCAAAGAAGTCAATGTAGTATTATCCCGTATAATTAGAAATAGTCTGTCTCCCTCAAGAGAAAGAACAGTACTGTTTTTGTCCTGATCAATCAAGTCCAAAATAATTGACAATGTAAAAATCTGGGGAGAGTGCTCGGGATGAAGATGGCTTTGACTCCAGGTTTAAACAGGAAGCCATTAATGAAACTGGGAATATTTACCAATTTAGGGAAGCTCACATTAGAGGAGACAGATAAAAGAAACAACCTGGTTCACTAAGACAAACAATGGATTGGCAATCAAAAGTTGTAGACTTATCTGTCCGTAAATTCTAACACTTTGGTTACTTAATCTGAGACCTAAGTCTCTTCCGTAAATTGGAATTAGCTCTTGACCTGTATCTCTGGGTGGTCATAAGGTTTAAAATAACATATGTGGAAGCATCTGAAATAGTGAGCAGTAAGTGTGATATATGTAAAGTATTATTTGTATATCTGAAATACTCTGTCACGGGATGGGAAAGGCTGAACTGAATTTACAGTGGTGTTTCCAAAGCCCTTCCCAGAACAGGATTGGAAACCAAAGGGTGAATGTTAACAAAGGCAGATGTCCTCTTCCTGGAGCTGTCCAACAATGAAACAGGCTGCTATGTGAAGTTCTCGGTTATCTGTCCTCATGTACCCCAAGGAGACTGGCTACATCAATTATGGACGCCACAGCTTATTCTTGCATTGCATTCTTAAGTTTGCTCTCAAATCGAAGTTCACAATTAAATGATTTTAACCTATTTCCAAAAATAAAATTCACAGTCAATGAATAAAAAACTTGTCACCACTAAAAATACACAAAACAATTTCAAAAGGGTAGTACCAAAATCATTAACATCAGCCGCACTGCTGAACAAAGATGAAGGGAACATTCATTTGTGATAAGACTTCATGCATGGGTGTTTGTACTAATAAAGAGGAATAAATTCCATTCAAACTGTTATCATTTAAACACAAAACTTCAGTCCCACCTTTACCTTGGCATTTAGAAAACATCAAAAGGGTTAACTTGGCACAGTTACAATGGTTCCCTCCCCACCTCAACTCCACCCACTGCCTTAGGTGTGCACACATTTATACCACAACAGCCACTGAAACCCTTAAAAATGTTCAGCTGTGACAAGCCGATGTTTCAATAACTGGAGGACAGGCCCCTGCAAAGCAATTTTAACTTTTACTTGGGGGGTAAGCTGGGAGTTTAGAAGCAGTTCAGTACTCTCACGTAAAAATTATAGGCTTATTTTAGTCACTCCACCTTATTCGACCAAGACTGAGGTAAAATTTTCCTAATGAGTATTCCATGATAGACAGGTTTCAACCACCAGGTGGCACAATTTTAGAAAATAAACCAAGAGTAACCAATGCATTAACTCTAGTAAAGAAAAGTAAGCATTCTAGGGGCGCCTGGGTGGCTCAGTCGTTAAGCTTCTGCCTTCAGCTCAGGTCATGATCCCAGGGTCCCGAGATCGAGCCCCACATTGGGCTCCCTGCCCGGCGGGAAGCCTGCTTCTCCCTCTCCCACTCCCTCTGCTTGTGTTCCTGCTCTCGCTATCTCTCTCTCTGTCAAATAAATAAATAAAATTTTTTAAAAAGAAAGAAAAGTAAGCATTCTAAATAACATTTCAGCAAATATATAGTCACAAGGAGGAAACCCCTTATTTTAATGCCACTTGGGTTTCCTTTCAAAAGATTCTGCTGTTCGGTGGCTGCACCAGAAAGAAATTTATACTACAGCTGCAATTTCTAGTGTCATTCTAAAACAAACAAAAAACGAGTCCAGAAAAGTCTCTTGGGCAAAGTTTGAAGAAGCTGTTCTCTAGGAAGAACTGTAAACTTAATGCTTTCTAAAACATATCTTTTTTAAAGTCTACTTTTCAGAAAGCACCGGAATTAGTTAAATTAATATTTCTGCAATTTTATTTCAAACTGTGCACCATGTTCAGCAGAGGCAGCAGACATAGCAGGGTATATTACCTACCCTACCCTTTTCTTTGCAGTTGCAAAGTAACCAAATCTAAACACATGCTATGGAGTGACTAGTGCTCCCAAATACAGACCATGCCCCACTGTTACTGAGAGCAACCCCTAGGCTGCCTGGGCAAAAGGACTATAGGGCTCTTAAGTTCCACCACACAGTTTTTAAGGAATGGGCCAAGCTGTAGCTTTTCCTGAACACTCAGTAGATGCTGGGCATTCTGCCAAATCACCTGAATTTCAGAGGGAAAAAATCAGTCCATATACCCCAAAGAACACACAGGCTAGGGAGGGAATATTCTTGTAAACACATATAGTAAATGTCCAATAAATGTTTACCAAATGTTGAATTTAGGATTATAGATCTGAGAATTGGTTCACACGTCAACATAGTTTAAAAAAAAAAAAAAGACGAAAATAAGGCTCATCTGAAATAAACCAAACAAGTGCAGAAGTCTGTATGTATAGGAAAAGAGATACAAGGGGCATCACAACACAAGTTTGCCAGGGCAAACTTCTTTTATGCACTTAAAATTTTAAATGAAGGTTTCCAGAACTCGGATTTACTTGACTCTTCATAAAGCACCTGCTGTAACCTACAAGCACGGCAAGTTTTAAACCCAGTAAAAGGGATCTGAATGCGTCCTTTCCTTGAAAAGTGTACTGACGAGGATCTCACTGGACTCCCACTTCGCAAGACAGACTGGTGGCAACTTTCACTGCAGCTGAGATGTGCCCTAACAAGGCCCCCACCTTCCACATGCAGATCCTAAACTCCTAGAGGACAACCATAATAATCATACAGTTCATTGAGTGCTCACCGCGTCAAGCACTGTGAAGGGCTTCCCTTCTCACCATCGAGGCCGTGGGTTATACCCATTTTACAGGCGTGGAAGCCGAGGCTCAAGGAGGGGAAGAGCCCGCCCCAGATCACTAGGCTCGCGAGTGGCGGGACAGACTGCCGCAGAGAGCGAAAGGTCTAGGCCAAAGCATGCTCTAAAGTACCAGCGCACCCTCAGCAAGTGCCTGTGGGCGCAGAGCCCGGGACAGACCCCCAGCCGCCCGCGCGGTGCACTACTCGGGGGACTGCCTGCGAGCTGAGAGCCAAGGCCACCCTGAAGGCCAGCGGCCGCACCTTCCAGGTCCCAACCTCCGAGAGCGGCAGGGGGTGGGAGGGACGGGACGCGGCGGGGCGCGCGCGAGCAGGGGTCGAGGGGAGGGGCAGGTGGGTGTCCCGCGGCCTCCGCAGACACCGCGGGCAGCGAGAGAGCGTTCCTCGGAACGGCCCGGACTGCCGAGACTCACCCGACTCGCGGCCACAGCAGGAGGGCTGAAGCGACAGTCACCAGCGAAGACTCCCCACTCAAAGGCCGGCAGCCAGGACGCCGGAGGTGGGCCAGCTCCCGGCGGCGAAGGCTCCCACGCCCTCCACAGCTGACCCCTCACGCAGGGCTGGTTCGGCCCCCGCGGCTCCTGGCCTCTGGGGCGCATGCGCCATCGGCCTGGACGGGCCCACTTCTGGGCGCTGTCGGGGAGGGAGAGCGAGTGCACGGAGGCCAGGCGGGGCCTAAAAACAGCAAGCCGAACCAACAAGCCAGATTTAGGGGGCCGAGATTAACTGCACTGAACTCATGTTCTCCGCTAACAAGAGTGATGCGGGGACTCGGCGTGTTTCACTTCTGCCGCTCCCCCACGCGGCCCCCTGTGCCCAGGGTACAGTCCAAGAGAGAGCTCCGGGGGGGCGGGGCCGGAGGACGGCGGGAACTGCGATTGGTGGCTTTGAAGGCGCAGCGGGCGGGAAGAGCTGCTGAGAAGAGACATTGCTGCGATGACGGACTGTAAGGGACTCGCGCGCGGCGTGGGATCGGGCCCTTGAATGTGGCGGGAGCCTCGAGAAAGCCACGTCCCACGCCTGTGGGGCGGCTTTTCCGCGACTGCCACACGTCCCAAGGTACGGGCTTGGCGCTTGGCCTCGGCTCAGAAGTTGGGGACTACGGCTGGGGCTGCGATGAGAGAGGGCAGCGACGCTTTGGGCGTGAGATCACATCCGCCCACAGTGGGGCGGGGCCTAACCCGGACGTACGTCATCTCCGGAGCCGCCGCCAGTTATGCGACGGGCTACTGCACCGGCCCGGGCTTAGGTTGAGGCTCAGTGGGGAGTTGGGTGTTTTGATTTTTTTTTTTTTTTTTTTTTTTTAAATCAGGCTTGGCTTCCGTTTTTTTTCTGTCCATGCGCCTCTCGTGTTTCTCCTTATGCTCCAGTGGCAACTCCTCAATGGAAGAGGAGGAGATCTACAGAAAAGTTACCGAAAAGTGTTCTTTTTTTGTCATGTGTTCATTCTTGAGCACATGATATATGCCAAGCCCTGTGCTACTAAGAGCCAGAAGTAAAAAGAAATTAGATAGTCACGGGGAATCAGAAGAGTTTACGCAGGGTTTACCAACCTTATTGGTGAGATTGAGTGCTCTACCACAAGTCTGTAGAAAGGCATTTTGCAAACTTTACCCAGAATTAAGAATCTTCTGAGGCATTCTAAAAATGCAGGCTCTCAAAAAAAAAAAAAAGTCAAGCTCTAACGCCCTGCTCGGTGCCCACCCATCCCCCAGTTCAAATCGGTGGGGCCAGGGAATCTGCTTTTTTACAAGGTTACGCCGAAATCCAGTGTTTTCGATGGGAGACGTTGGTTTGATATATCACTGTTGGACCCTAATTCTCCCCAGGCACACTGCTTACAGAGAGTATCTAATATTTCATTCCGCATGTATTTATCATTTCCCTAAATGTAGCCATGAATAAAGCAAACATAGTTCTTACCCTAGTGGCTCAATATTGTAAAGCAATACAGCAATCAATAAGCAAGATAATTTTAGATAGTTCTATAAAGACAATAAGCAATGGAAGATGGGGAGATACCTTTAGAATGGGTGGTCAGAATAAGTCTCTCCGACCAGAAGCCATCTGAGCTAAGACCTCAATTACAAGAGCCATACATGTGAATATGTGCAAGAAGAACCTTCTAGGCCGGGGGTAACTGCAGGTACAATGGCCCTTCTCTGGAAGGATCCTTCTGTACTAGAGGAACTCAAGGCCAATGTAGCTGGAGCTCAGAAAGCCATGGAGAGAGCGGTAGGTGATAGGGAGGGAGGCAAGAAGCAAACACAGGGCCTTGTAGACCATGGTAAGGATTTTAGTTTTGACATTAAGGGAGGTTGGTCCTGTATCTGGATAAGAAAATAAATCAGGCTCAATTTTCATGATGTTGATTCTGTTCTCATGTTCCTAATTCAGTTGTTTTTCTTCTACACAACTCCTAATAGTTTGCTTTATTTTGTTCTAACTGCTGTTTTCAGTACCTTTTTTTTTTTTTTAAGATTTTATTTATTTGACAGAGAGAGATACACAGCGAGAGAGGGAACACCAGCAGGGGGAGTGGGAGAGGGAGAAGCAGGCTTCCCGCGGAGCAGGGAGCCCGATGCGGGGCTCCATCCCAGGACCCCAGGATCATGACCTGAGCCGAAGGCAGATGCTTAATGACTGAGCCACCCAGCACCCCTGTTTTCAGTACCTTCTTAAAATCTTGTTGACTATCAGTATCTTTTTTGGAAGTGGGCAATGGTAATAGATTATATGCAGTGTTCAACAAACACTCAAATGGTAAAAATAAGTCACAGCCTGTATTCTTGTATAGGGGTACTTCTCTCTTTGTCCTTGCAAATCTCATAGGCGCGGTGTACGCAAATGAGATTGACAGACTGACTTCCGCCTCTTTTCTTAAACATGGACAGCAATGTCTGTATGCTCTTCTTGTAAGATAGAGAATTTAAATTGAAATTCTGCAGCTATCCTGCTTAATCTTTGTTTAGAAAACACACTTACTTGCTTTTTATGTGCCATATTTTAAAAGGGGCCGGGGGAAGATGCCTATCAGGGTCCCCAAATGAGATCAACTGTCACCCTCAGCCCACAGCTCCCCCCTTGAGAAAAGTAATAAAAGGGTTCAGAAACCCCCTTCCCCGTGCCACAGCTGTGAGACAGCCACTAAGCCATGCTCCTGAAGATCATTGCCTTCGTTGGTTGCTGAGGGAGCCATACCAGATTTGGGTGGGGCTCAAGACCTTTTGGACAGTTGAAGAATCTCCTCTTCAGGCACCAGGCAGGAAGAGTGAGGTAGCAGCGGTCTTTTAATTGGTGACACCTTAAAGGAGAAAGAGACTGCAATCCTCTTCACCTCTATCTCTTACTGTGTCCTCTAGACTAATACATCCCGCTGTTTATTCAGTATCTCCTCTTGAAGTCCAACAATTAACCTTAAAATGTACATATTCAAAATAGAATTCTTGAGCTTTCTTCTGCCCACAGCTCTAGTCTCCCCCAACTCAGATAATAGCAACTCCGTTCTTCCAGCTGCCCGGTACAAACATTGGTATCTCCTCTGATTCCTCTTTCTCTCGTACCCCAGATCTAGTCCATCAGAAATCCTGTGGGCTCATTCTTAAGAGCATATCCAGCATCTGACCTCTTCCCACCACCTCTACCTCGGTCCACCCTTATCTCTTACCTGCCTTGCAGCAACCTTCTGGCTGGCCTCCTGCTTCTGCCCCTGCCCCCAGGGCAGTAGCCAGACTGATCCACCTCTTCTCAAAACCTTCCAGTGGCCAGTTTCTGTCAGAGTAGAAGCCATAATCCTTGCAGTGACCCCCTGGGCCTCCATGTTCTCTGACCTTATTCCCTCCTCTGTGCCTTCTCACTCTCTCTCCACTCTGGCCTCACTTGAGGCATCCTTCACCCTGTTCCTTGAAAGCCCCAGGGCTTTTGCACTTGCTATTCCCTCTGCCTAGCAAGTTCTTCCACCAGCTAGCCTCATGGCTCACTCTGTCCTCCAAGTGTTGGCTCAAATGTCCCCTTCCCTATGAGGCCTGCTCGCTCCACCCCCACATCATCCCCAGCCTGCTCCATTTTAACTATTATTAGTTTCCTAGCCCTGTTCCATTCCCTCTGCAGCATTTCCCACTTTTAACACATTTTATGATTTTCCTATTGCCTCTCTCTCCCCACTAGAATGGATGCTCCATACCACCAGGGACTTTTGTCTTTATGGTTAAAGATGTAACTATCCCCATTGCCCACAGAAGTGCCTGGCACACACAGGTGCTCAGATTTTTTACATGAATCAGTCCATGAATGAATGATTTACTTATCATTACCATCAAGAGATCAAAATACTCTAGCCAGTCAAGGAGAGAGACCACTAATTTTTAAAACCTCCAAAGCATATTTAAATATACAGCTTAGGGGCGCCTGGTTGGCTTAGTCAGTTAAGCGTCTGCCTTTGGCTCAGGTCATGATCCCAGGGTCCTGGGATCGAGCCCCTCATCGGGCTCCCTGCTCGGCAGGAAGCCTGCTTCTCCCTCTGCCTGCCACTCCGCCTGCTTGTGCTCGCTCTCTGTCAAATAAATAAAATCTTTAAAAAACATTTTTTTAAATAAAAATAAGTATACAGCTTAAGGAGAAAATAATTAAATCCTCCTGTTGAAACACTCTTTGGAGAGTGCCTGAAAAAAGGTAAACATTTGGGTGTTTGACCTACAAATCAAAATCCTGGCTGAAAATATGCTGAAAAATTCAGTTAAGTTAAACTTTTGTATTTGGTTAATACTTTGTTGTACTGTTTTTGTTTTTATTAAAGTGCCAAAGAGATGGATGACACTCTTGCTGAGTTTATCAAGAGGACCATCTTGAAAATCCCAATGACTGAAATGATGACAGTCCTCAAAGCCTGGGATTTTTTGTCTGAAAAGCAACTGCAAACTGTAAACTTCCGGCAGAGAAAGGAACCTCTTGTTCACGACTTGGTTCTGCTCTGTGAGGTAACAGTGTTCCAAATGATGAAACTTAAGCATCATACTACCCCTTTGGTTTTTTTCTTTCTTCCTTTTTTGAGTCCATAAGAGATTTAAGGCAGCTGCTAAGCCATGAAGGAATGTGGGCTATGTATTCTTCATCCGTTAAAAAGGATAAACTAGATGTTTATATACAACATTGAGAAACACTATGTAATATGCATACCTGAAAATGTATGTTGTAGGACAGTGGTTCTCAACTAGGACGGTTTTGCCTAGAAATGTCTGGAGATGTTTCTTGTGGTCAGACCTGTGGGAATGCTACTGTCTTGTAGTGGGTAGAGGCCAGAATGTTCCTTAACATCCTAGGACAGCCCTCCACACACAGAATTATCCGACTAAATGCCAGTCATGCCCAGTTGGGAGATCCTGATGTAGAGGAAGTTTAGAAGGATACAGCTGATTTAAGAACAGAACAAGGAGTCTGAAAGAGATGAAAGAGGAATAGACTGTGGGAGGAGGGTGGGGAGTACCTGAACCAAGACACTTGGCAGGAGAACATAGACTGGACACAGTTGCTCTAAGCAACCCTAAAATGTGCTATAAATGGAGCAGAACCAAACTGTTCCACGTTCACTAAATATGTGATCTTCTCTTTCAGGAGAAGCGTGCAAGTGTCCATGACGCAGCCCTTTTAGACATCATTTGTGAGTGTCGGTGCTTTGTATTTACACTTCCCAGTCCCGCTTTTTTTTTTTTTTTACGATTTTATTTATTTATTTGAGAGT